GCTCAAGGCTAGTCCACTTGAGCCACAGTGCTGGCTTTTTCTGTTTATGTGGTATGAGGAATCAAACCCAGGTTTTCATGCATGCTAGGCAAGCAATCTACCACTAAACCACATTCCCAGCCTGGCCATAGCTTTTTGTCTTGGAATTGGCTATAAAGAAATCACCTGACCTGCTCTTGACTTCCAGTAGGTGAAATGACCCTCCTCATTCCAGTGAAGTATAGAAAGTAGTGCAGAGGCCAAGACAAAAAAAAAACAACAACAAAACAAAACTTAAATACACAAGCCTTGCTGGCTTTCCCTACCCAGGCTATGGGCAATCACAGCTATACAATGAAGTCTCCATGAGCCCCCAAAAGGACAGGCTTCAGAGAGCTGCCAGATAGCTGAAATTATGATTTTTGGATGTGGCCAGTGTAGAGAGGACAGGGAAGGTCCAAGCAACTCCTCCCAGACCTGGCTCTACAAATCTCTTCAACTGTACCTTTCATAATATCCTTTGTAATAACCAGAACAATCTGTCTTTCCCTTAGTTCTGTGAGCTCCTTGAGTATCAAGGGGAAGGTTCTAAGAATCCTGCCTTCTGGCCAGTTGGTCAAAAACACAAGTAAAATAATCTCGGCTTGCAGTTAGCATCTCAAGTGCTGTGTGTGTGTGTGTGTGTGTGTGTGTGTGTGTGTGTGTGTGTGTGTGTGTGTGTGTGTGTGTGTGTGTGTGTGTGTTGTAGGGGGTCAGTCTTTGGGTCTTTGCCCTTCACCTATGAGATCTTATGCTATTTCTAGGTAGAAACTGCCAGAACTCAATTGGCTCAAAGGAAATCCAACCTAGTGACCTGGCTACAAAGCTGCTTCCTTGCTGATGGGGAGAAAGCCCCAAGCCTTTTCAGAGTTGAAATCTCCTGTTTCGGTTGATATGAAAACAGGAAGAACAGACATTGTCATCCCTCTTGCCCTGCCACCCCCATTAAGTTTAAATAATCTAGTCTAAATTTCTGCTGTTCTTTTTGTTTTGTTTTTTGTTTTGTCAGTCATGGGGCTTGAACTCTGGGCCTGGGCGCTGTCCCTCAGCTCTTCAACTCAAGGCTAGCGCGCTACCACTTGAAGCACAGTGCCACTTCAGTTTTCTGGTGGTTAATTGGGGATAAGTGTCTCACAGTCTTTCCTGCCCAGGCTGGCTTTGAACCATGATCCTCAGACCTCAGCCTCCTGAGTAGCTAGGATTACAGGCATGACCAGTGGCACCCGGCCTTCTGCTGTTCTTATGCCTGGTTCTTATTAAAATTTTATTTGTTTAGTTAGATTTTTTGGTGGCACTGAAATTTGAACTCAGCTTCACACTTACTAGGCAGACACTCTAGCATCAGGCCACACCTCCAGCTCCATTTCCTTGTTAGTTTTGAGATAGGGTTTTGCTTCCTGTCAGGACACATGACTGAACTCCACCTACTTATACTACCCACAAAGCTAGGATGCAAGGAGTATGCTACATTATCCAGGTATTGTTCAAGAAGTGGGGGGGTGTTGGGGTCCCATAAACTTTTTTGCCTGGGCTGGCCTTGAACTTCAATCCTCTCTATCTCAGCCTTCCAAGAAGCTGTAATTACAGGTGTGAGTCACTAGTGCCTGGCTTTATACCCAATTCTTAAGTTTAGGCTCCTGTAGAAGCAACTCAGTAGGTGTAATAGGATTCCATGTGACCTTGTGGTTACTGTGACTTAGACCCTTCAGGGGACACAATAACATAGAAAAGTGCCACAGCACCCCAGCCCATCACCCACCTCTTCTTATCTTTCCCACACCACAAAAGCTAAGTGCCAGCAACTTCATCTGAGGCAATGTGCAACAAATGTTCCTGCTTCTTGTCCCCTCTACTTCCTGTCAGTCAGCTCCCTCCCCTCTTGAAAACTTCTTACTCAAGGTACCAGATAGCTCTCGGCAGTCACATCTGTCTCTAGACCCCAGGACTCTCAGGACCACCAGTGGCATTTTACAACCATGGTTGTCTGATCTTGGAAAATAAATGGCAGGCTGCAGGCAGCCAGCAGCCTGAGGGAAATGTATTATTACAGATTGTGTGTCCACCACAGTGACAGGTTAAAAAGGGAAGTTAAAGAGGGAAAGAGGAGATTTAGGTCACAGGAGTTGTGGTGAAGGATGTAGAGTTTGGAATGATGGGCAAAGAACCATAAGTCAAAGACTGTAGGAAGCTTCTAAAATCCAGAAAAGGTGAAGAAACAAATTATCTTCTGGAGCCTCCTGACTGAATGGAGCCCTACTGATGCATTTCAGACTTCTGACTTCCACAGCTTTAAGAGAATAACTGTTGTTTTAAGCTACCACACTTGGGGTAATTTGCCATAGTACCAATAGGAAACCAACATAGCTAGCCACCCACTATTTAGTACACTCAGAAAACTATGAACATTGCCGGGCACCGGTGGCTCACACCTGTAATCCTAGCTACTCAGGAGGCTGAGATCTGAGGATCACGGTTCAAAGCCAGCTGGGCAACAAAGTCCGTGAGACTCTTATCTCCAATAAACCACTAGAAAACCCTAAGTGGTGCTGTGGCTCAAGTGGTAGAGCGCTCGCCTTGAGCTGAAGAGCGCAGGGATAACGCCCAAGCCCAGAGTTCAAGCCCAAGACCACCACCAACAACAACAAAAAAAGAAAACTATGAACATTGAATCTTGCTTTTCTTTGCACTTCCAATCTCTGGGAACATCCTTCCCCTTTCTGATTTGTCATATTGCAAGAAATTTGGAACTTGGAAGGACAGGGAAGCTGACTTTTTGGTAAAGCCTTTATCATTTATTTAAATACTTATTTTCATTATTTAAAAATTTTAATATCTAAACTACAGTTGTAACTGGAATTCAACCATATCAAGCAACAGAAATATCACTTTGGGATCTTTTGAGATTGCAGATTACTAGAGTCAAGAAGAGATTATCCAGTCTAACCCACCCGCTTGACAAATGAGGAAGATGTGGCTGGAGCAAAGGGTGAGTGGGGAGAGGGAAGGGTGAAGGACTGTAGGCCATGCTGGAGCTACCACATAGACACCATCTTGGCTCAGGCCCCGCCCTGCCCTGCCATCAAGGCTGCTGTTGGTACTGGCTCTCCGTGGCTGTGTAGAAGTCATCCAGCACACTCTGGATATACTCAAAGGTGGGCCGTTCCTCCGGGCGGTTCTTCCAGCAGCGTGTCATGATGTTGTAGAGCTCCACTGGACAGTGCTCTGGTCGAGGCATCCGATAGCCATGCTCCAGTGACCGGATCACCTCTGGGTTTGACATCCCTAAGAAGGAGCCATGTAATTAACAAAGGAAGATTGGGGGTTCTGGGGACAGGGGATGGCACAACCATAGAGCATCTGCCTAGCGAATGTAAGACCCTAAGTTCAAACACTAGTACTGGCAAAAAATAAAGGAGGAGGAAGAGAAGAAGAAAAGAAGAAAGGAGGATTGGGAAACAGGAACATATTGTGGATAAAAACTGGCTTTCCCCTAATAGCCATCAGTCTTCTCCCACCATAAATACCAGACAACCCTTTTATGCCCTTTGCTGCCAGGACCTAGACCTGACCCCCAGGTTTGGCCAAGAAGGAGGAAAGGGAGTCTGCTGAGAGATTTGTTTTTCCTCATAGGTTAAAATGGAGGCTTTGGGAGACACACCTACTTCTTTTGGACACTGAGAGAGGATGCAGTTCTTGGAGCTGCATCAGCCATCTAACCACATGGGGAAGATAAGCACAAAGAAACTAGTCCCAACAGTGCTAGAGTTCTTGGGATGAGGAATAATAACTTGTCTATTGTTTCTGCCCCTGTTATTTTTGTGACTTGCAGCTTCATGCAGTCAAGTGGAGATCAGTGATCTGTTAACTGGTTTTTCATGAGTGTATTCACAAAACAAGTAGCCAGACTCAAGGTCACCCTGTGAGCAAGGCCCTTTTCTTGTTTAATGATTTTAGTTAGCTCTAAGAATTAAGTGCTTATCATCTTCAATATTATCAGTCTTGACATTCAACTTAGTTATATGAGTACTTCCTAACATCTTTACATGATGTCTATATAACATCTCAGGTTTTAAAAAGCTGATGCCGTGGTGCATGCTTGTAATTTCAGCACTTGGGAGGAATAGCCATAACAACAAATGAACAACAAAACCTGGTTTACAGGAGAGCAAAGGGAGGACTAACAAGACACGTGTAAGGTGCTCTTACAATCTGGATGTGGGCAGAGGTGGTGAGTTAAAAGTGTGCAGACTTGGGCTTTGTTTTAGAGTCAAAAGGTGGAAGCTTGTGATTGCTTGGCTGTGGGGAGGGATGAGAAAGAAGGAAGGTTCAAGATGAAGGACCTGCGTCCTTCATCTTGACACAGGAGTTATACTGTGAGGGAAGAACATACAAAAGAAACAAAAGAATCACATAGTGCAGCCGGGCACCAGTGGCTCACGCCTGTAATCCTAGCTAATCAGGAGGCTGAGATCTGGGGATCACGGTTCAAAGCCAGCCCAGGCAGGAAAAGTCCGTGAGACTCTTATTGCCAATAAACTACTCAGAAAACCGGAAGTGGCGCTGTGGCTCAAGTGGTAGAGTGCTAGCCTTGAACTGAAGAGCTGAGGGAGCGCCCAGGCCCAGAGTTCAAGCCCCACAACTGACCAAAAAAAAAGAATCACATAGTGCATTGAAAGTATATTTAAAAAATAGCAAGAAAGAAAAAAACCCGCTTGTATCCTTGTCTTGGGGTTCATTTTGCTTAACATCATCTTATATGGTCATATGTACATAGCTTTTGACCTTTTTTGCTTGTCCTAGACATGTACTATTTATTGCAAATAAGGGAAACCATGAGACCTATGTATCTTTGGGCCTGGCTTACTTCACTCAGTATAATTTTTTCCAAGTCTTTCTATTTCCTAACATATGGGGTGATGTCATTCTTTCTGATGGAGGGATAGAATTCCATTCCATACATACTTACATACATACACACATACATACATACATACATGCATACATACATACATATCATATTTTCTTGATCCACTCATCTACTGAGGGGCATCTGGGTTGGTTCCATAACTTAGCTATAGTGAATAATGCTGCGATAAACATGGTTGTGCTTGTAGCTTTGGTATGACCTTGTTTGTGATCATTTGGGTAAATGCCCAAAAGAGGGATGCTGGGTCATAGGAGAGCTTTATGTAGAGTCTTTTGAGGAACCTCCATACTGCTTTCCAAAGTGGTTGAACAAGTTTACACTCCCACCAACAATGCAGTAGGGTTCTCTTTTGGCCACATCCCCCTCCAGCATCTGTTGTTACTAGATTTCTTGATTATAGCCAGTGTCCTGCATCTTGTATATACATTTTATAATTTGGGGAGGGGAAGGAATATAACAAAATGCTTAAATAAGGATACAGGTTGACCCATTGTAACAATGAGATGTACAAGACACTATGTTGAAAACAAACTTTACAAGTTGGGGGGGGAAGAGTTGGGGAGGTGGGGAGGGAAGGGATGGTAGGAGAAAAACAAAGGAGGAGGTAACAATGCTCAATAGGAAATGTACTCGTTACCCTACTCATGTAACTGTAACCCCTCTGTACAGTATTTTTACAATAAAAATATGTATAAAAATGAACTTTACAACTTGGGTTGGGGAGGTGGGGAGGGAAGGGATGGTAGGGGAAAAACAAAGGAGGAGGTAAGAATGGTAGATAGGAAATGTACTCATTACCTTACTCATGTAACTGTAACCCCTCTGTACAGTATTTTTACAATAAAAACATATATATATATATGTATATATACATATGAAAGAAAGAAAGTTCAAGGAAGATTTGGTAAATGGATGGTGGGACATCTAATAGAAATGGGAAAGGTGAAGGAAGTTTGGGGGAAGACCAAGATCTGTAAGCATTATACCCATCTTTGGTCCTCAGCTCCACCCAGACCTGAGCTCCTCCCTGCCCTGGAGTTCCCGCCCTACAGCTGGCCTCCCTCTCTCTCCACCCAGACCCACCTGAACTCCCATCTACCTCACTTCCTACCCCAGACCTGCTACCTAGATAGTGGAGGTCGCCATGAGCTCTCTCTCTGGGGGAAATATGGCTCTCTAATAAACCTTGTAAGAATCTTTCTCCTGTGCCTGCCTGCTTCTGCATGATGGATCCTTTAAGATCTATTTCATGGACACATTAAAAAGATAGACCATTGCCAGGCTGGGTTCTTGGAACAGCCCCAAGTTGATGCCCCTCTCCCTACCTGGGTAAGGGATCCGGCCGAAGGTGACAATCTCCATCAGCAGAATACCAAAGGACCAGACATCTGACTTGATGGTGAATGAGCCAAAGTTGATGGCTTCGGGAGCCGTCCACTTGATGGGGAACTTGGCCCCTGCAGGGTTGTAACACAGTAGAGTCAGGGGGAGTCTGGGGAACAGTGAGGGCTGAACCTCTGCAAAGGTGGGGGAACAGGGCAGGGGCCTCAGCAGCCAGCAGCTGCCCCCTGCAGAACAGCAATGGCCCTGCCACATGGCTGCTTTGTGAAAGCTTTAAGACAGATGGTGAAAGCCTGAGGAGTAGGCAGGGAACGTGGCACCGGAGGGTGCCCTCTTTGGGGGACCTGACTGAGCTCATGTCCCATCGAACTGTAACTTAGAGAGGGAGGGTCCTAGAAGTCACAGGAGGTCTTCAGGGAGCCATAAGTCCAGGTCACAGCTAATACCCTGGCAGTGGGGGCTTCAGAGGTTTGCCTCAGGCTCTGGAGGGTCTCCTCCCTCTTTCCTTTCCTCCACCTGTCAGTCTTTGTATCAATTACATTATGACTGGTGATCGCGGTCTAAGATCCATAGTGCATTGAATACAGCTAACCTACTAAACACCCCAGCAGAACCACACAGAACCTAAGAGGGAGAGAGTCTCAGATATTTGCCCTCTAAGTGGGAGCTCAGGCTCATCACAGCCTCCAATGGCTGATGGGAAACTGGAGCAGAGATCCAAACTCAAAATGGTAGACCTCTAGAGTTCCTTCCAAATGTAATTGTTTTATACCATCATAGAGTCAAAGAGTTATATGTTGAGCCAAGATAAGTCAGGACCTTTGGAATTTGGTAAGACCTACATTATAGTCATTATATATTTAGTCAATATAGAATTAAGTGTTGGGATTTTTTGGTGTGTATGTGTGTGCACCTACATCTATTTGTGTGTCTTTTCCTTAAGTTTGGATCTCAATAATTTTCTTTGTTTTCTGCTTATTCTCTCTTGTCTTAGGAATTATACATTCTACTTTCATCTTTTTTTTGGGGGGAGGGTCGGTCATGGGGCTTGAACTCTGGGCCTGGGTGCTGTCCCTCAGCTCTTCAGCTCAAGGCTAGCACTCTACCACTTGAGCCACAGTGCTACTTCCAGCTTTTTCTGTTTATGTGGTGCTGAGGAACTGAACCCAGGGCCTCATGCATGAGAAACAATCACTCTATCACTGAGCCACCTTCCCAGCCCCATCTACTTTCATCTTTTTGAGTTTAAACTTTTTTTTATTAAGTCATGACAAATATGAAATAAAGCATGCAACTCTTTAAGGCACCAGTAATCTCATTTTTTTGTGTGTGCATGTACATAGGTGTACATGCATGTGTATATGTGTGTGTGTATGTGTGTGTTGTGCTGGTCCTGGGTCTTGAACTCAGGGCCTGGGTACTGTCCCTGAGCCTCTTCATTTATGGCTAGAGCTCTATCACTTGATCCACAGCTCCACTTCTGAATTTTTGATGATTAATTGGAGATAGAGTCTCACAGAGTTTCCATCTGGGCTGAACCATGATCCTCACATCCTCCTGAGTAGCTAGGATTATAGGCTTGAGCCATCTGGGCAAGCTACATTCAGATTGTATGTATGTACATGTCCTTGTAATCACCTTCTGATTCTGGAGGAGAATGCATTCAGTATTTTAGGAGGTCCCTTCCACATCCCACATCTCCCCATCAATACCTTACTGCTCCAGCCTGTTCTCACCTCTGTGGACAGAAATGAAATTTACATTCTTCCCCTTTACAGCTTCTAGTGCATAGACCATGAAATCCACTCACTCAAAGTGCAATTTAACAGCTTTTTATAATATTCATAAAGTTGTGAATTTTAGGACATTTTGTATCACACCTCCAAAACACCTCATAGCACTCACTTCCTTTCTTGCCAGCTCCTGTCCCAGCCCTAAGCAGCCAGTGATTCATATCCTGCAAACACTGGGAAATGTACAGCCTGGGTTTTCATATAGCATGACATTGTTGAGGCTCACGTAGATTCTAGCATCATTCCATATGTCATTTTACTTTATGACTGTGTTAGTTTCCATTGTTTGGAGGGTCCACGTGGTTTATCTATTCATCCATTGGTGGACATCAATTAAAGTTTTTTTCCTTTTTTTATTATTAGGACTATTGCTACTATGGAACAACTTTTTTTTTGGTTGGTCATGGGGCCTAAACTCTGGGCCTGGGAGCTGTCCCGTAGCTCTTCAGCTCAAGGCTAGCACTCTACCACTTGAGCCACAGCACCACTTATGGCCTTTTCTGTGTATGTGGTGCTGAGGAATTGAACCCAGGGCCTCATGCATGCAAGGCAAGCACTCTACCACTGAGCCACCTTCCCAGCCCCTGGAGCTGCTGCATTTGAGTCTCATTATCAATAGAACTAATCAGTTTCTGCTTGTTTTGTTTTTTGTTAGTCATAGGGCTTGAACTGGGGGCCTGTACTGTCCTTGACCTCTTTTGCTCAAGGCTAGCCCTATACCACAGTGCTACTTCTGGTTTTCTAGTAGTTAATTGGAAATAAGAGGTCTCGGGGACATTCCTTTCTGGGCTGACTTTGAATGGCAATCCTCAGACCTCAACTTTCTGAGTAGCTAGGATTATAGGTGTAAGCAACCAGCTCCCAGCTTTCTACTGTTTTTTTTTTGTTTGTTTTTGTCTGGCTACTTTTTAATATTGTGTCTTCAAGAGTCACTGTTTACTTGCAAGTGGTAATGGTGTATTCTTGTCATTTCTATATTCTGTGACTAAACTACAATTTGCATATACTGTGTGGGGGCAGTTTTTGTCTACTGTGCCCAAAGTTGTTCTTACCTTTCATTTCATCATGAACTTGCCTAAGTCTAAAATGGATCTTTACATCTCAAACTGCTCTGCAACTTTTCTCTTGAAGTCCCAGTGAGACAGGTCCAAGAAATTCTGCACAAGAACCCACTTCCTGAGTTTAATAATGCAGAGGTCACACTGGGATGGATCTCTGGTTTTCCAGGCATCCATTCTCAACACATAAAGCCCATCCAATTAGGCATGTGGGCAGCATTTCTTACCTTCCCGAGCCGTGTACTCGTTGTCTTCAATGATCCGGGCCAGGCCAAAGTCGGCGATCTTACACACCAGCGATGCAGAGACCAAGATATTGGCAGCTCGGAGGTCTCGGTGAATATAGTTCCTGCGCTCGATGAAGGCCATGCCTTCTGCGATCTGCATCCAAACAGATGCCCTCATCCTCAGACCTGCCCACCCCAGGAGATTCCTACCCAGAAGCAAAAGGGACCATGACCAAGAGGGACAAAACTAAAAAAAAATCTACACAGCTCCTCTCCCCCTTTTTTGTCCAAAGGGTCCTAGGATTAGGCTGACATTTCTCTACCCATCCAGGCTGGATGTTAGGGGGGGATATTTCCTCAAGGCCTGGTTCAGTTTGAGGGGCTTCTTTAGAATTCTGAAACTCAAGAGAATACTTTGAAATGTCCTCAAGGAAAAAGGCAGCTGATTGACAAGGGGTTAACATCCTGTATATACAGGGAACTCAAGAAACTAATCCCTCCCAAACCTAACAAACCAATTACTAAATGGGCAAGGGAACTAAAGAGGGACTTCTCAAATGAAGAAATAAAAATGGCAAAGAAACACATGAGGAAATGTTCATCATCCCTGGTGGTGAAGGAAATGCAAATAAAGACAACCCTGAGATACCACCTTACCCCAGTCAGAATGTCCCACATCCACAAATCAGCCAACGACAAATGCTGGAGGGGATGTGGAGAACGAGGAACCCTATTACACTGCTGGTGGGAATGTACACTTATACAACCACTTTGGAAAGCAGTCTGGAGGGTCCTTAGAAAGCTAAAGATTGACCTCCCTTATGACCCAGTCATACCACTTCTAGGCATCTACCCTGAACAACAGGAACCAATATACAAGGACACGTGCACCTCCATGTTTATTGCAGCACTGTTCGCAATAGCTAGGATATGGAAACAACCCAGATGCCCCACCACAGATGAATGGATCCAAAAATTGTGGTATCTATACACAATGGAATATTATGCAGCCATTAGAAATGACAAAATGATGGCATTTGCAGGGAAATGGATGGAGCTAGAAGGAATCATGTTGAGCGAGGTAAGCCAAGAACGAAGAGACAAACAGTACATGGTCTCCCTGATAAGTGGATGCTAAATCCATAATGTTAGGTGATATGACAAAACTAACAGGACTTAAGAAACAAAGAACTCCCACTCATCTGGTTGAACCACTACCAAATATCCCCATGCTGCTGATCACATATATGGTATATAACATGTGAGCACCGTTATATATTACAGACTGTGATAGACAATTTGCTCCAGGAAAGTTAGAATGAACTTGTGACTTTAAATGAGCATCATTATTCCACAATACTGTGTATTTCTGGAAATTATGTAATCACTTAATCACAATAAAAAAAAAGAACCTCGGGGAAGGGAGGGAGGGAGGGGATGGTAGGGGGAAAACAATGGAGGGGGTAACAATGTTCAAGAGGAAGTGTACTCATTACCTCACTCATGTAACTGTAACTCTCTGTATAGTATCTTTACAATAAAAATTTTTTTTAAAAAGGCAGCTGATTAATTTATGCAGTATCTTCTCTCTCTCTCTCTCTCTCTCTCCAGGATGTCATGAGGAGCTTTCACTACTTCCCCTTCTGAGGAAAACCTAGACGCCTGCATTATTTGGCATTATCTCTTGTGCCCAGATAGGCAAAATTCATTTGTTCATTACACAAATCCTTGGAGTGTCCAGTCTGGGCAGGACATATATGGGTGGTGAGTCAGGCCCAGTTTCTGCACTATAGAGGAAAAGACAAAAGGGAAGACAGGACAGGAAGTGCAGAGAGCTTGTTAGATTAGGTGGTGAGGAAGTTACTTTGTGGGGGTGGAATTTTAGCGAAGATTGCAATGATGGTAAAAATAAGAATGTTCTAGTCATGGAGAACAGTAGGTACAAAGGCCCAGAGACAGGGATGAGCTTGGGTGTTCACAGAACAGCACAGAGGCTAGGTGGCTGAGCACTGAAATGAAGAGGGGGGGCACCAGTCACAGCCTCACAGGCCAGGAAAAGAGGCTGGAGTTGTGAAGACAGACTGAGCAGCACATGACGTGATCTGTTGTACATTTAAGTTCCTTGTGGCTGCTGTGTGATTAGCAGACTGTGGGGGGGGATTCTGACTCCAGGATTCTAGAAGCTTCTGGTAGAAAGGCAAGTGATTGTGCCTTCTAAATGTTTTTACTTTCAAGCATTTGGACAAAAGGAATGGATGAAGAACCTTTTGCTACCCAGAGAACAGCACTTGGCAGTTTACAAACCGGCCTGGGAGTTCTTTGAGGCAGGAATCATGGTGATCTATTTTACAGAGTAGACACCTGTTTGAATCAGGAAAGCTCTGAATGTGAGACTTAAACCTAGGCTGTACCGTCCCTTCCTGTCCCGTGTCCCCCCCACCCCCACCCCCACTTAGTACCCCTCCTTGCTTCTTGACACCTCACAACTTCAGGACCCACACACTGAGAGTGGTGAACTTGCAGAGAGTGGACAGCAGGGGGCACCAGAGGCAGTAGGATCTGCGGTCCAGACTTGAGAACAAAACCTGGAGGATGCCAAGTCCTCCCAACCCTTCACCCAGGGAAGCACCCATCAGGGTGCACCTCACTTCACCTCAGGTTTCCCTAGCTGTGGAAGCCAGCACACAAAATCATGAGAAATATTAACTGGTGCTGGGGTGGTCTGTTATATGAGAATGGACAACAAAACCACTCTGTAGAGATGACATGAGTGAGCATAGACAGGGTCAGTGCACAGGAAGAGCAATCTGAGATGGGTCACTGGTGGCTCACTCCTGTAAAGCCTACCTACTCAGGAGGCTGAGATCTGCAGATCGCAGTGCAAAACTAGCCCAGGCAGGAAAGTTTGTGAGATTCTTTTTTTTATTTTTGTCGGTCGTGGGGCTTGAACTCGGCTTGGGCGCTATCCCTGCACTCTTCAGCTCAAGGCGAATGCTCTACCACTTGAGCTACAGCACCACTTCCGGTTTTCTAGTGGTTTATTGGAGATAAGAGTCTCACAGACTTTCCTGCCCAGGTTGGCTTTGAACCGAAATCCTCAGATCTCAGCCTCCTCAGTAGCTAGGATTACAGGCATGAGCCACCAGCACCTAGCGAGATTCTTTTTCTCCAATCAAACACCAAAAAAAAAAAAAAAAGCAACAACAAACAAACAAACAAACAAACAAACCCAGAAGAAAGCTGTGTCTCCAGTGGTAGAGTACTAACCTTGGGGGTTAGGGGAAGCTAAGGGACAGCACTCAAGGCCCTGAGTTCAAGCCTTAGAATTTACACACAAAAATGAACACTCAGCCACCATGGATCTGGTTCTGCTTCCACAGACTCAGCCAAGTACACGTAGAAAAGATTATAGGATAGGACATCTGCACTGAACCCTTACAGACCTTTTCCTTGTCAACCTGAGCAGTCCAGTGGAACAGCAAATTTACATGCATTTACATCAGTTTAGGCATAAGTCAGCTGGAGATCATTTAGAGTCTATGGGAAGATATGCATCGCTTATTCGCAAGTACTACATCCTTTATTGCTGTTCTTTTGAAACAAGGCTTAAGTACCCTCGTTGGCTTTGAGCTCTTAATCCTGCCTCCATCTTCCAGACTTAGGATGATAGGTGTGTACTACCACACTGGCTCACGCCATCTGTGGATTTTGAGATTTATGGGGTCCTAAACTATTTTTTTTTTTTTGCCAGTCCTGGGGCTGGAACTCAGGGCCTGGGCACTTTCCCTAAGCTTCTTTTGCTGAAGGCTAGCACTCTACCACTTAAGCCCCAGAGCCATTTTTGCCTTTTCTGTTTATGTGGTACTGAGGAATCAAACCCAGGGCTTCCTGCATGCTAGGCAAGGACTCTAACACTAAGCCACGTTCCCAGCCACTCCTAAACTTTTTACCTAGCACTCAACAATTGTTAACTTTTATTTTTGTTATTATTATATGTCTTGGATAAATAACTGAATTATCCTCTCCCACCTCCCTATTCAGACTCTCACCTGGGCAGAGAAGTCAATGAGCTTCGGCAAGGGCTGTTTGCTTCCTTCGTCACTTTTCAAAAAGTCCAGCAGGCTTCCTGTGTGGGGAAGAAAAGAAGGAGTACTCCTGTAACTTTAGTGTGTGATCAAAACTTTTTTCCCAGGCTATGCAAGGCAGCTCATGCTATAATCCCAGCTACTTTGGGAAGTGAAGGTCAGAAGGATTGTGGTTTCAATCCAGCATGGGCAAAATGTTAGCAAGACCCCACCTCAAAAAAAAAAAAAAAAGAAATTAGGAGGCTGGCGCTGATGGCTCATACCTGTAATCCTAGCAACTCAGGAGGTAGAGATCTGAGGTCTCCCAGTTTAAAGCTAGCTCGGACAGGAAAGTCCATAAGATATTTTTTTTTTTTGGTCGGTTGTGGGGCTTGAACTCTGGGCCTGGGCATTGTCCTTCAGCTCTTCAGCTCAAGGCGAGCGTTCTACCACTTGAACCATAGTGCCACTTTCAGCTTTTTCTGTTTATGTGGTGCTGAGGAATCGAACTCAGGCCTTCATGCATGCGAGGCAAGCACTCTACCACTGAGCCACCTTCCAACCCCTCCATGAGATTCTTATCTCCAACTAATCACCAGAAAACTGAAATAGGGCTATGGCTCAAAATGGTAGAGTGCTTGTCTTAAGCAGAAGAGCTCAGGGACAGCACCCAGGTGTTGAGTTCAAGCTCCAGGATGGGAGGGAAAAAAATCTTTTGAGACTTTCCTGCCCAAACTGGCTTTGAACCACGATACTCAGATTTCAGCCTCCTGAGTAGCTAGATTTTTTTTTTTTTTTGGTCAGTTGCAGGGCTTGAACTTGGGGCCTCTTTGTGCTCAAGGCTAGCTCTCTGCCACTTGAGCCACAGCTCCACTTTCAGCTTTTTTGGTAGTTAATTGGAAATAAGAGTCTCCCAGACTTTCCTGCCTGGGCTGGCTTTGAACTGTGATCCTCAGTTCTCAGCTCCTTGAGCTTCTAGTATTACAGGCAAGAGCTACCAGTGCCCAACCAGCTATGTGACTTGAGTTCTTTGTGTTACTATCTTACCTAACCATATTTGTATGGGCATCAACTCCTTGCTTTTAGTAAGGCTCCAGGGAGCCCTGTAGCTTCTTTAACTCTTTGAAGCCATTGTATTACCTTCATTGTGAAGGTGCATGTATGATCTGAGAGTTAACTTTAGTTTGCCAATGGCTCGTGGCTATCAAAAGAAATCAATAGTACTTGACAAATTAACCCCAACAAAACTGATGTCGCTTGTGAATTGATTGCTTCTCATTGAACTCAGACACTGTAGAACGAGGCAAGCATGTCTGTCTACCTTTCTGACATAGCTCAATCACAATACCTGCCACAAACCCGTAACAAAGTCCTTCCCCTCTCCCTGCATTTCCCATGGGGTTCTGGCTTACCACCCTCCTTCGACATCCCTGGTGCTTTCTCCCTGAGATCCTTTCACCTGGTTTCACCCGATGAACCAGCACTGGCCATTCGTGCCATGAGGACTTGTTGGAAGAGCCATGAGACTCATGTCAAGGTTGCCTCTGAGTGTGCAGTGGGCCAGCAAGGGCCACACCCAGGCTCCCAGCACACCCACCTTTAGCCATGAACTCTGTGACTATGTAGATGGGCTCCTGGGTGACCACGGCGTGCAGCTTCACCAGCTTGTCATGCTGCAGGGTTTTCATCAAGTTGGCCTCTGCCAGGAAGGCCTCCACCGACATGCTCCCTGGCTTCATCGTCTTCACTGCCACCTTGGTATGCTTGTTATAGGTGGCTGGAAAGGGCGGCCAACAGGGAAAGTGGTTAGAATCCATTGCCTTACCCCTGACCCTGAAAAGCCAGCTGTGGGCCCACCTCCCCCAGGCAGCCTTCCCTTAGAGAGGGAAGCAGATACCAGCTTTGGCCTCAGACAGGGGTGGGGCACTGGAAGGCTGGTTGCTTACTTCCTAAGCAGCTACAGTTTCCTCATCTGCAAAGTTGAAATAATAAACACTCCCTTTGGAGGGGGTATAGTAAAATAGAACCTTAATCAAAAAATGATAAACTTAGCCTGGCACCTGTGGCTGATGCTCATAATCTTAGCTACTGAGGAGGCTGAGATCTGAGGATTGCTGTTCAAAGCCAGCCAAGACTGGAACGTCTGTGAGATTCTTATCTCCAGTTAACTACCAAAAGGCTGGAAGTAGAGGGGTAGCTCAAGAGGTAGAGCACCAACTTTGAGTGAAAAAAAAAAAAGGTAAAGGACACTACTTAGGCCCTAAATTAAGCTTCAGTACTGGTACACACACACACTTAAATGTTTCCACTTGTACAGGGGTGATGTACTATATTTGTAAGGTCTTATCTATGTGAGTTTGATTGAAGAAACTAGTAAACTTCTCTAAATAAAGAAAAAAGTAGCCCGGAGCTGGTGGCTAATCTCAGTAATCCTAGCTACTCTAGAGGATGAGATCAGAGGATCATGGGTTCAAAGCCAGACCAGGCAGTAAGGTCTGTGAGATTCTTATTTCCAATTAACCACCAAAAAGCCAGAAATAGAGCTGTAGTTCAAGTGGTAGAGAACTAGCCTTATGCAAAAAAAGCCCAGGAACAGTGCCCAGGCCCTGAGTTCAAGCCCCATGACCACCACTACCACCAAAAAAGTAACCTTAATCTACCACTTGGCTCTGTCTGTCTGTCTGTCTGACACACACACACACACACACACACACACACACACACACACCATGCACCACCTTAGCCCTAACAGTTCACTTTGAAATCACTATTCCTCCAATCCTGCCTCGATACCCAGCAAACTTTGTCACTCATTTAATGCCTATGCATGTAGCTCAGTCCCTCACATCCCCACCACCCACTACACCACCGGGCAATGCTATTCCTGCACCTATGTCACTCTGCTTCCTCTCTGGGATCTTCTCAATCTTATTATTGCTTCTGTCTCCTTGGCTGCCAGGTAGCTATAATCCAAAATAATCTCCTGCATTAAGAGCTTAGTACTTCCTATGACTTTTTTCTTTTTTTTCTTCTTTCCCTCCCCGCTTTTTTTTGTCATGGGCCTTGAACTCAGGGCCTAGGCACTGTCCCTGAACTCTTTTGCTCAAGGTTAGAGCTCTATCACTTTGAGCTATAGTGGCTCTTACGGTTTTCTGGTGGATAGTTGGAGTTAAGAGCCTCACATACTTTCTTGCCTAGGCTGGCTTTGAATTTGTGATTTTCAGATCTCAGCCTCCTGAATAGCTATGATTACAGGCATGAGCGACCAGCGCCCATCCTGACATTTTTGTTTTGTTTGGTTCTCCAGTCTTACCTTTCAGATCTGTCTTATTTTCCTTTCCATAGTCATCCTTTTGTGCAATGTCTGGCACAGAGTAGGCCCACAACAAATGTAATTGAAATACATGTTTTCTTTTTTTTTTTTGTTATCTTGAGACAAGGCCCAAACTCTGGGATTGCAGGTGTGTACCACTACACTGTGCTTGAAAAACATGCATTTTGAGCTTATTCTCTCAGGCTGAATTTTGCATCCCTTCAGGCTGTCTCCCTTCCTTGAGGGCCCCCAGTAGAGTAGTAAACACAGGGGTAAGCACTAAGCACAAGGACAGCAGGGATGGGATGTGCCTTCTGGGTGCTGCATAACATCTAGCAGGCTGCTGGATGTGTGGCAGGCCACGAGGACGGCGTGGCCCTCGGTTGCCAGTGTTGAACTCACCTGGAAGTTTCCAAGCTGTTTTCCCACAGTTAAATTTTCTCATCCAACAAGGCCCCTGACTATACCAACTCCACCTGGAAACTTCCAGGACATTTACTTCCTAGACTAGAAGGAAGTTTTGGGCCCATGTGGCCTGAGCTTGAGGCAAAACAGTGTTTGCATAGCAGGACAATTTGGTTTGTTATCAGAGGAATTGGTCATTTACAGTTATTCAAATCTCTTCTGCTGGGGTGGTATAGCCCACAAGGTGTTCCTGGAAGCAATGATCTCCCTCTGCCTCTCCCTGTCCCCACCAACCCCTCCCTGCTAGGCTCGTGGGCTCTGGCCCAGGATCCTTACCCATCCAGACTTCTCCAAACTGCCCCGCTCCAAGCCTCTTCTCCAGCTTGAGGGATTCCCGGGGGATCTCCCAGGCATCTTTCTCCCATGGCTTTTGTGGCTTGGGGGTCTTGCAGGGCACCGACAGCTTCTGGCACAGTCCATCTTTCCCCTCTGAAACAGAATCCCTTGTCTGCTGAGGGCCACACGGCTGCACAGGCAGCCAGAGATCTTCTTGGAGACCTCCTAACTGGTGCCCTCTCATCTGGTCCAGGCGCCACCTGCTTTCATTCCCAAGAGAGCAGAGCATGACCTCTTAGTGTCCTCCACCCTCTGGCACCACAAGTCTAAGTCTTTGGGAGAATCTAAAGACCATCCATCTTGGGAGAGTGAGGAAAGCCTGAGTGGGTGAGGGGGTGAAGGGACATGCGTCTGGCCCATCAGCAGGGGGTGTGGCCTCTGGCAGGACTCACTCTTGTAATGGTCCACAAGCTCCTGCAGTGTGCTGAAGGTGCTCCTTGGGGAGATGTAGAAGCCCCCACTGTCCAGCGTCCGGATCTTATAATGCTTCACTGTGTCTCCTTGCTGGGGGTCAAAGTCTCGCACAGACAAGGAGTAGCTTCCTGCATTGGTTGGAGAGAATCCCCTCAGAAGGGCACCCTAGGGCCTGACCACCCCGTACCCAACACCCTGATACCCTCTAAGGTCACTGCTGGCATCATCTGGACACCTGGCCAGAAGCAGGCAAGAGTTAGAGTGAGGGTAGACAGGCCGGCTGGGTGCTCGGGCCGGGTCTGACATGTGCAGCTGTGAGACCTAGGGTGAGTGACTTCATCACCTCTGGGCGCCTCAGTGTTCTCATCTGTAAAATGGGAGGAGCTAGGCCTGCTCACCTTATCCCATTGCCTGAGGGTCCAAAGAGTAATGCTTGTAAAAGACAAACAGTAGTGCTGTGTGCCTTTGACCATGCCACCCACTTCTTTTCATGATAGTACAGTATCAAGTAGGATTGGGGGGGGGTTTAAATTGTTGAATGAGGGCTGGGAAGGTGGCTCAGTGGTAGAGCGCTTGCCTTGCATGCCTGAGGCCCTGGGTTCAATTCCTCAGCACCACATAAACAAAAAGAAAAAAGCCAGAAGTAGTTCTGTGGCTCAAGTAGTAGAGCGCTAGCCTTGAGCTGAAGAGCTGAGGGACAGCGCCCAGGCCCAGAGTTCAGGCCCTGCGACCGGACCCCAAAAAAAAATTGTTGAATGACTAACAGTCGACCATACATGCCAGGCAAAGTATGAAGGAACAATGAACAGGAATAACATTCATTTGGATACATGTTATAATTATTTGAATGATATTTTATTTGTGGTTGTGGGGCTTGAACTCAGGGCCTGGGAACTGTCCCTGAGCTTTTTTGCTCAAGGCTAGCACTCTACCACTTTCAGCCACAGCTCCTCTTCCAATTTTTTTCTGGTGGTTAATTGAAAATAAGAGTCTCATGGCCTTTCCTGCCTAGTCTGGCTGTGAATTACGATCTTCAGATCTCAGCCTTCTGCTTAGCTAAGATTATAGGCATGAGCCACCAGTGCCTTGCTGAATGATATGATTTGTTATACCAAAGGACTTCATGGGGTTCAGATTTTATACTACTATAAAACCTGTTTACAGATGAGAAACTGAGGACCAGAGAGGTGAAACAACTCACCTGTAGTCACACAGCTGATACATGACACAACTGGGGTTCAAACCCAGGTAGTTGGCTCCAAGACCCCCTTCGCCACTCTGCCTTAGTCCAGGTGAGGCTGGCTTGACTGATGTGTGGAGTGGGAAGAATGGAAAGCAGCAGGATGGGACTGAGGGGTTACCTGCTGCAGGTCACCCCACTACGCCCCAACTTCGGAAGGGCTGTGAACGCTGAACCCAGCTCCTTTTCCTGGTTTCCCTGTTCCTGTCTGCAGGATGGACCAGCTGGCTTCCAGCTGCTCTGGACATAGCTCATGAGAAGTTTCCCTGGACTGTATGTGGCTATACTTTTTGTCCCAGTTTCCTGGGGGTGGTGTGGGTGATGGGAGGGTTTGTTGGGAGGGAGAGAATCCAGTCTAAACAGACAGTGACCTCAACACCGGCTTGCAGGCCTCACCAATTCAGATAGCCAGGGCAAAGTGGCAGCCACACAGGGGCCTTCCAGCAATGTCCCCCAAACAGTTTGTTTCACAATACTGTGAGGTCACAGGTCCATGTGGATCCTGCAGTTCTGAATGTTAACCCACGACTCACAGGCAAAGGTATTTTGTGCAGGGAAGGCTTGAAATCACCAGCATTCTGCATGCATGTCCTTGGGAAAGTCAGCATGGCTGATGTGGGGCGAATTACCTGATCATTTCCAGGCCCTGTTCTTGCTCTGGTTGCCTTCCTAGCACAGGCATCTGAATTCTGTCTTCTACCGTGTACCTGCCTCCAGGAAGCATTTAAGAGTCTGGCTTAGTCCCCCCCCCCCCCCCCGCTCCATTTCCTTGTGTGGGGAGCAATCAGTCTGTAGACATATATGTTGCCATGGATTTTTAAAAAATACAGGCTAGTGAAGGTCAGATCTCAGCAGGATAGTGTGTGTGTGTGTGTGTGTGTGTGTTTTCAAGGCCCAAACACCATGCTGTGATTGTTTCCCTTGACCTAAATCTGCAACTACGAGGGTTAAGGAGGATCCAAGCCAGGCACTGAACTCCAGCAGTCCCTGCTCCAAGCGGCAGCCATGAACCTCTGGCTGAGTTGTTCTGCATTTCCCAAGGGAGGGGTGGTAGAATGGAACCCAGGGCTAAGAACCAAGTGGGGAGGGCAGCTGTCACCTTTGGTGGTCTCGCTATCTCTGATCATGAAGGAGCCAAGCATGTTGCCTGGAGTTAGTAGGTGTCGCTCTGCGTCCTTCCGGCTGACCTTCTTGAAGAACCACCTGATGAGATGAAGACACCAGAGAAACTGGGTAAGAGGGGTTGGGGGTGGGGAAAGGATGGCTCTGGCTCTCACAGGGCACCTGCCAGATACCCAGGCTGGGCTTCCTGCAGCAGCAGCATTTCACTCTAGGATTTTTTTTTTTTTTTT